TGAAACGTCGGTAAACTTCTACCAGGCTACAACCCAGAAGACGGAAATCTTCAGATTCACCTCCGTGAAAACCTAAAATCCTACAAACAAATAAGTTATTTCGGTCGTAACATATTCGGTTATATCTCCAATACCGACATAATTGTAACAGACGAGTAAGCACCGATATTAAATACTATGGCTTGACATACATTCCTCGACATTTAAACAGAAAAGAGTGTGTATAACTTATTTTAGAAAGATTACTATGAAATTTAATTGGTATTAGTAACTTGTTTAATTATTAATACATTTAAATAATGTTATGTTATATTATAAAGTGGATAAAGAAACCTCAGCATTTGTGATCAAATTTATTCGATACTTCTAATTTCATTGCCAAAAAAAAATTATACTATAGGACATCCAGCCTTTAGACTGTAGTATGTTGTCTAGTGAGATTTTATTTTCATCGGCTCCACCCATACAATTAATATACCCGCTTTACAGCAAAATTCATCTAATAAATAACATTCTTTTTTCTTATTTATTATGATACAATTTTCTGTTTCTAATTCCTCACACTGGATTGTGATGTAGTTTAGTTTCTTGTATAAGACAATAAGGAAAACGCGTCTTAATTTAATCTTTCAAGCGAAAGCTTTATGTTTTACTTTAATAATAATAATGTCCTTTTTCTTCAGCACTGCCCTGCTCACTATACACTCCAGCCTGCGTTTGTTGCACACGGCATAATTTTCTCATATATCAACATAGTGCGTTCCGAAACGGTTTTATGTTTTGTCTATCAATGTGGTGACGTGAAGTGCGTGCTGCTTGCTACACAGAGCAAATTCTGGTTTTGTAAACATTTACATTTAATAGTGACAAGTGCGTGGAGACAAAGAACAACAGACTGCTTTAAATGCGTTTAACTTTATTGAAAGCAAGAATATCGAAGCTGGGTTACAAGCGAAGCTGCTAAAGCAACAGGCATTTCGAGAGCGTAAGTTTGTAAAGAATAGATATGATAATGTATCTGCAATATATTTTTCAGGTAAATTCAAAATATCTTTTGTAACGTCGAATGAGTCATAGAGACAGCCGAAAACTACAATTTAACATTTCTTTTACTAAAATTACTCCGGCAGAAAAATCGTCAAGTTGTATTTTTTTCCTAGCATTCCGAGAATATGGGAAAATAAAGTTAACTAACTTCATAAAAACTTCTTGCAAAACTAGCAGTTGCACATCCAGTTATTGACATTCACGCCCTTTATGAAGCCCGCAGTTCATTACCGTGTTCAGAAGAACCAGACACTTGTCTCTGGAACTAAGCAGGGCGTGGGGATGTGACCTAGATTTATCTCATTCGGGATAAGGACAACCAGTGGCGGGTTCCATATATGGATGGTAACTTCTTGTCTAACTGAAGAACTATTAGCTTCCCATGAAGTTGGTAATTAATACGGGTTCATTTTGCTAGAAGTAGTCAGTTAAATGTTTTAAATTCTACTTGACTGAAATGCGAATTCACGATTAAGAGAAAAAGTATTACTCCAGTCTGGAGGGCACAATATTTTTAAAATTAATTCTGTGTGTATTTCATACTTCACAGTTGTTGATGCCCATTCATTGCAGATACGTGTCTACCGTAGCAAAGCTAATTACACTATAGGTACCACACCGAATAGTCACATTATTTCCTCTGAATTTCACTAAATATTTAGAACTTTCCAAATAAAAGTTGTACATCTTAATAACATATTTAATTTACGTAATTACCTAAATTCCGTACGATGAAACATATTTCTTTTTTAATAAAATTAATATTTCATTTGAACTCCATGTAAAGTGAGGGGTACGTTTAAACGATGACTAAGCCAAATTGCTGGTAGTCGCTTAGCTAATCAATAAACATTACAGTACAAAAATTTCAATGCCGTGTTCACAGGAACCTGCAAGTGTCCCCTGTTCTTCAAGTTTAACGGATACGAGTCAAAGTTAAATTCCAATAACGAATGTCTTTTCTAAACACATAATAAATTTTTTTTACGAAATTCCTCTAGTTATTTTTGTATCCAGATAAGAACTTTTTGTGCAAAGATCGCATAAAACACATCACGTTCGAAACGAAACTATATTTATGACAGTCCGCACTTAACGCTGGCGTACCCTTTGCATGCCTGACTTATATATGGAAGTGTAGGCCGGTTTCATGCTTTTCTTTTAAGCAGAGAAATTTTTTTGTCCGCTAAGAACAGAGGAGATTCTGAAGGAAGAGAGGCAGCTGTGCGCTCCGTACTTCTGGAAACGGATGGGATACGTTTTGCTGCATTAGTCTGATGGAATGAAGAGCTCATTGACCTTTGTGGAACTGCGGAAGAACGTGACCTTTAGCGCAGTAGTGTTTCAAGTTAATTTTACGTTCAAGTTTAGTATGAGTTTCTGAAAATCAGGTGAATTGGTAGAAGAGATCTTGTAATATAAAACAGGCTGAGT